GAAATTCAAGTTACTTAACTATTTTTTGTAGGGCAGAACTTACAGTTTTAATATATTTCTTTTAAAGCACGTAATTCTGAGTCATTTTGTGATTTTACTGTTTTTCTTTTAAGACACAGTATTCTGATATAGTATATACTAGCATATCGCAGTCTTAGAAATAATTTATCCTTGATCATCTCACTCTATTGATTATGGTCACTAACGTGATGAGAAGTGGAATTCAATATCAAACATCTCTTACTGTCCTGCTTTTACCTTTTTATAATATGGAAGAAAGGAAATTGTGATGGCATTAATTTTGGTGCAAAACTACTCTATCAGGTTCCTCCAAGACCAAATTTTAAGTGAACAAATAGTGAAGCAAATGGGTTTGGCAATGGAGTTCAACAGACAGAAGAGACAAGTAAGAGAAGAGAGTGGCTAGAGAAACTGCACATTCTGAAGGACTGTGTGTTCAGCTGTGAGAATGAAAAGGTCATCCTTGTATAGCTGTGCATTGCAAGTATCAAGCTCCTTAAATGAAAAGCACAATCAAGGAAGCAAAATCCACATGGATTTTCTTTAATGAGTTTTAATGCCATGAATTAGGAGTTAGAGTACAGAATCTTGAGAACAGAGATAGGAATCCTCCAGCCTCCTTTATTAGTGAGTTCATTAATCCTGGGTCTCTTTGAAGCTTTTGAATTTTTTTTCTCAGCCTTTTTTCATGATGGGCTAAAAATTAGTTTCTTTGATAAGCCTAAAACTACCTCTCCCATCTGCTGATCATTTATATCTAGAGATTCTGCTCCTTCTCTCTCAGCCTCAGCACAATCTCTCACTGCAACAGATGTGGCCTGAAAGCTGCTCTTGCTGAATGGAGGTGACTGTGTGATTGCTGACTAAGCGGAGACTGTAGGAGAAATAAAAGACAGCTAGATCCCAGGGTGCAAGTTCATTGAGTGAACAGGGGAAATGAGAGTTTGTAAGTGGAATTCAGTGGAAGAGTTTTAAGGGGAGTCCCTAAAAAAAATTCCCTCTAAGTCAGCAATATGCATTTGGCAAGTTGAGAGCTTGAGAAAGGAATAAAGAAATACAAGCCTTCAAATAGGTGTTTCCTTAGGAAATAAAAGTAAAGATGAAGGGACTGGATGCTTCACTTGTGACTTGCAATGCTTGTAACATGAAAACAAACTGACATATTTGCAGTACTGTATGTACAAATTTGGAGTATGTACTTGAAGAAACAGTCAGCAGGTTGGAGCAATGATTGGCCATACTTCAGGTGATGAGTATGAAGATATATCAGATTAAGTAAAGTAGGCACTAAAACAAAGCCTGTGAAAGGAATAAACTCTCCAGAAGACAAGGAAGGACCAAACCCAGTTATCAGAGTGCCAACTAGATATAGGAGACATAAAAGCTATTCTGCACTTTTGAAACTAAGAAACAGCTTTCCAGTTTTCATAAAAGAAACAGGTTGTGAGTCAAGGGAAGAAAAACAGAAGGTGGCAAAATAGTGAATGGCAAGAGGGGATGCATCTGTACCCTACAGAAGTCAAAGGGAAGAGTCATGATTTGTGACTTGCTATTATGAGGAACTTCAGTAAAACAATGTGTGAATGCTAGAACCATTGCCTTGTAAAGTGTGCTGCCAACAGCATGTATCAAGTCCACCAGCAGTTCACCATTCCAACTAATCAATATATGGACAATATCTGATCTTGCAAAGAAAAACTACAACCCTATCACCATGGACTTCAATTTTTAATCTAGGAAAGCAGCTCAGGAACTTGGGATCTCAAGTGATCTTTACATGCATCCATCTAACCAAAGAGTCCAAAGAAAATAATATTAGAAATGAATGACTGGCTGCACAAATGGATTCAAAGGGAGAGATTTGGTTTCTGAGATCATGATTAAAGATAACTAAATGGTGGACTGCTGGCACAAAATGGGTTGCTTCTCATAAGAACAGGTAAAAATGTGTGAAATGTATAAAAAATATGCCTGAGTCTTTCAAGATGGGTAGGATATAAATGTTGACAGAGGGCAATTAACTGTTTTGCTGGCTCCATCCTACGATGCAATAAAGATTCTTATCTGGCTGTGCCCATCATGTGTCTTGAAAGTTTTCAGTTGAGCTTGAACCTAAGCCTAGTAAATTCTTTTTGGTGAGCTTGATGCTAATCTCACCAAAAAGAATTTGATGATAGCTTTTGATGGTAATTTTTGATATGGTAACTCAGAAGCTGGCAGTACTTGAGCAACTTTCTCTGGGCTCACATGCTAAGCAACATCATCCCTGGTTAATACTTGGATGGATAGGGAATTCCAGGTCTGTAGGCTTGCTAAAAAAAACATCCTGGAAGAAGAGAATGGCAAATTATTTCCTGTACTGTTGCCAAGAAAACCATGTGTTAAATCTAAAACTGAGGGAGATAGATTGGACACAAGGCTTTTATGTTTAACCAAAAATTTACACTTATCTTTTTTTAACAGTATATTCCCAACTGTTTACAATAAAATGAATCAGTATACCCCGTAGTCATACCTAAACATCCTACCATCAAAAGCTATCATCAAATTCTTTTTGGTGAGATTAGTGTCAAGCTCACCAAAAAGAATTTAGTGGTAATTCCCAAACATTTGATACTGTTTGACTAGACTTAGGTTCAAGCTCAACTGAAAACTTTCAAGGCACATGATGGGCACAGCCGGATAAGAATCTTTATTGCATCATAGGATGGAGCCAGCAAAACAGTTAATTGTCCTCTGCCAACTTTTGTATCCCACCCATCTTGAAAGGCATATTTTTTATACATTTCACACATTTTTACCTGTTCTTGTGAGGAGCAACCCATTTTGTGGATGGTTAGGTATGACTACCACATAGTCATACCTAAACTTCCAACATGGATAACACTGCATCTGCTTTGAAGGATTCTAATTTTTGCTGCCAGCTTCAGCAAATATTACTTTTCTCTTAGTAGTGGAAATGATGGAATGTGGAGAAAGAGAGACTTTTTAAGCAAGTAATATGAGATGCAAATATGTAACAATTGTATAGAGCAATGTATGGTTTTTAGTCATTTGATAAATGTTTTCATAAACTGTTTTTTGAATGACCTAATTCATTAATTATATAAGATGGACTGGAGGATCTTATTTTAGGATACATGGTTGAATTTGTCATTAGATCCACTACTATCTTTAACAACTGACTCGATAAAATGAAATAAATGGCTTGAAACTTTCTAACTAAAACACATACTATCACTGAATATGCTACTATCACATGTCTGTCAGCACAGGGTTGTCTGCAGCAGTGTGTCACTGGCTTCAAAATGGCAGGTGTAACCAGGCAATTGAAGCCCCCCACCCCCATTTTTATTTGCATGCAATGTGTGTGATGCACATTAAAAAGGGGCAGGGCTTCAGTCGCCTAGTCCCCTCAGGACCCTGCCTTTTTCTCCTAGAGGAAAGTAGGATATAAATAACTAAATCCCAGGACCAGTTTCACAGATTCTTTGTTATATGGAGTAGATGCCTCCTTCAGCTGGCTGTAGCTGAAGTAAGAGCAAATAGTACCAACTCCAGCTAAGGGAGTTATTGGATGTATTAATTGAAATATATCCAAATAATTCTGGAATACACAGTTTCAGATTTAGGAAACAATTGAATCCACAATTGTACTGGTTTTTAACTAATTTTTTACTGCTCAGTGATGTATGCTGATGATGCAGTGCTAATAAGCACTTTAGCTATATTGATACATATTGGAAATAATATAATGAAATGAATTATGTCATGGCCTGAAGTTAGGATTAACATGAACGTATAATCTGGAATTTTGATATCTAAATGTAGACTCATTTATTAGAAATGACATGAGAAAGAGAGCTGAGGTTCATTTATTTACACATCTATATAAATAAACAAATGACAGTGTAAAACTGTGCATAGAATAAATGCAGTTCTAAAGTACATTAGACATGGCATTTTCAATAAGTAAAACCATGATTAATACTGGAAACTTTATTTAAAAAGCTTGTACAAGAGTTGATTACCAAAAATGGTCTTAGGAAAGAAGACTGTGAGAGCAGGATTTTTTTTTTTAATCCAGCATTAAGAAAAATGAAGTGATACAATTGCATTCTATTTTCATGTTGTTCTTGTTTTTACAGTAAGCAAAGATAGAAACTGTTACAATGCACTTTAGGTTGGGTGCTAGCCACCAGATAAAAACCATTGGATTAAATTAAGATAAGAAAAAATATTCTTTGGTTGATGAACTATTCTCAATAAACTTTATTTTAACAATGCCTACAACGTGTTCTCAAAAATTCCAAATGTGCTTACCTGCCCCACAAAGTTGAGGACTCTGATCTACTTGCTATGATAGCTTTTTCATTACAAAACTATGTAGAATAATATTCTGATGTAGAAACTGATTTACTTATATTACCAAAGCAATACAGAGACATGCAGCAGTTAAAAAGCAAACACATTATTGTATAGGCATGGTGGATCATAGTTTTTTTAAATGCAATGTATGGAACATGGGTCTTAGGAATATTTTATATGTACAAGTTATTGAGAGGAGAGGAAGTAAGCAGGAAAGAAAATATTTACAGTGATCTTAAACAAAGTAGTAAAATGTGATAGAAACATTCTAACCAGTAATGTAGTAGGGCTCTGCAAAACATTTGAAAGGGGTGCTTCACAAATTGCCTTCTGTAAGTGAAGCATCCCTCCTGGAAGCATTGAAATAGCCATATCCTTTAGAAGGTGTTTTCTAGCAGTATGCACATGTGCGTGCGTACACAGTATGTCTGCTGGAACCACTAATGAAGTACAGGTAGTCCCCAGTTTAAGAACGAGTTCCATTCCCAAGGTCTGTCCTTGGGAATATCGAATTTGTATGTAAGCCAGAACAGTATTATAATAATGTTTAAGAGTATTGTGTAATGAACTCAAACCATTGTGTATTTAACTCAAATTGTGTATTTAACTCGAGTTTTGCTACAGTAGGCTCTGTTCTTAACTACGGGTCATCTGTAACCTGGACGTTCTTAACCCGGGGACTCTTGTAGCTATGAATACCCTTGAAATGGCTGGGAAAAGCCTTTAAAGCACCTGAGCATTTTGAAGGATGCACTGCTTTAAACTTTTCGGTTATACAAAACAGTCCTTTTCAAATGTTTTGCATATCCTAACTCATTGTGTGATAAAAAGCCTTAGTTTTTCATTAATCCATAAGGAAGTTAAAATTCCTGCTTCTCTGCTATTTTGTAGTGAAACTAGTCTTTATAATTAGACTATCACTTTTGGGTCAGTAATAGAATGATCTGGAAAAATTGTAATGTTTGTTCACTAATCTTTGGATACTGATAGTTTTGATGTCAGATATATGTCCATTGTATTGCATAGAGATTAGGACAGTATGTTTAAAGTGCAATGGGGCATTGCTAACAAGGGGATGGCATATATTATTTGGAAGATAAGCAAGTATTGTGGATGACATTAGGTCCTATACTAATCTTTTAAGTGTAAATATGGACATGGTCAAGATCAAGGTCAGTTTCCCCAGAATAATCCATAATCCCGTTTCCCAGCTTTCATTTTAAATAAGTGAGGTCTTAAGTTGATAAGTGGCTTACATAAAGTAAAATCTGTGGGGTTTTGTTTGTTTTTGGTAAGAAAAGTCTGTTCCTCATTTTCAATGTTTTTAGCTAATGAATCAACAGTATTAGCATTAACTGACATACATGTTTTGATCAGAAATAGGATTGCCCCAAGGCAGGGAGAAAATTCCCATCCTCTAAGACCCGCAATGGCAGAGAAAAATGTTGGTCATTCCCCAAATTAGTATGATAAGCATAATGTTGCAAATCGGTCAGTATTTTGCCGTTTTAATCACTTGAAATTGAAGCATGAATAATTGAGTCAAGAGACTGAAAATACAGGAAATGTTTTAAGAACCAAAATTATCTCTTTACCTGCTTGTAAAGGTATACAAAATAAAAATTCATTATTCCTGTAATTTTCCTTTGTGTGGGTAACATAATTCTGCATATGCGTTGACAGATTTCTAATGTATCAGTAAATAAGTAGAAATGCATAAGCTGATAGAAAAATCCATTTAACTATATAAAAGTAGATGTTAGATTAGTAAATCAGCTGTCTGATCACCCCCAAGGTAGTGAACAAAGAACGTTCAAGCTTTAGTAATGCATGCTTTGATTTACATGATCTATTTAATATACTATTTTTATGTACTTTTGTATCCTTATAATATATTCTGAATAAATTTGTGTTTCCCGTTCATTTACTAATCCCTCGGTATGGAGAATAGTATAGACTATTCCTGCCATGAAGGGTTTATTTGGGGGGTAATAAACTCAACAAATTTGAAGATATCCATTGTATGCATATTTGGATAAGATTTAAATTCCCTGGAAAAGTCAAATTCTGCATCAGTACTGTCTGGAGAGAAGAGGCTCATAAATTTTCCTCAGTGGAATGTGATTGCTGCCTAGTGAAAAACAATTTAGAAATCTAGGCTTTGGTGTAGCTGCAATTGGGCAGTAGTTTGTTTTCTCATAATGAAAAACCAGGAGCAAAGACAGGAGCTTCTAATATTTCTCACTCAGGTCAATGAGAAAGCTAAATTATCCAAATGTTATCTTAAAAACTTAAACATGCCTTTGAGTCAAGCTTGGCTCCTAATGACTTTAACCTTGCTTAGCTTTGAGCCCAAGCACAATTGGTTTACTGCGAAAAGAGGGACTCAGTGTAAGATGGTTTCTCATGTTCTTATTCTAAGCAAATTTCTGAAAAAGTGATGCCAAAATTGCCCAATACATGCTAAAGACTGCTGAGATATTTTTCTGGCCTATAATATGGCACTACACAACCAACTACGCATACAAGAATAGCCATCCAGATTACTATGCAGATTATAGTCATAGCCTCCATTGCAGTTTTGGACAGACACCCCAGAACAATTCCTGTAGAATTGGCATCTGGATCTGCACAGAATTTGATTCCTGTATCTGTATCACTGTTGCTGCTTAATAGGTGTTTTAACTTGGATGGTGATCTATAGGCAAGTTAAGGCCTATGAAAGGGAATGTTGTCCAGAATGGGCTTACATATAACAAGTGGTATTCTGTTGTGTTGTGTTTTGAATTTGATATGCTTTAGAAACAGGCCTGTTGATCTGTTTATTGCAAAATTTCCCTAGATATGTGAGATGCACTTGAGTTACACTCTTCACATGTTTATCAGATGGATCTGAAGAGATGACCATGCATTATGTTTCTTGGATATAAACAGTGAATTTCTGGTGTATTCTGAATGGAAGCTGAAAAATGCAAGTATATATATAACGGTCAGTTGGCTTCCTAAATAAGGTTATACTTACTGTGTAATTCCTCTGTATTTAAGTTTTGATGGACCTTTACTTTTGTTTGTGAATCCAGATAATACATTTGTCACTGAATTTCAGCTAGAGATTTTTGGGAGGAGGAGCTGAGGGAGCATTCTAAGTTAGCTATAAAGACTATAAGTGCCCACATCAGTTCAATTGATGTGGAAATTCAAGTTTTCCCTAAAAATACAATAATTATGGATGTGAAATCACAGAGGTTTGGCAGATGTCCTGTGGTGCCATCAGAGATGGAATTTCTGATAGTTTGCAATACATTCTTGTACAGGATGTTGGTGTACAGGTCATCAACATCCACGATGACTAAAATGTGTTTCCTGAGAGATCTTCTATTTATATTTTCCAAGTAGTCTATAGTAGCTGATATCTAAATCGGGATGCTGGTAGTACCAGCCAGAGAATAGAGTCCAAATAATTAGACACCTACAGACTGTATTGGTACCAATTCCTGAAACAACGTACTATCCAAGGATCCAGAGTTTCTGTATTTTGGGTACAGACTGAACATAATGGTAGCAGTTACAGATTCTTTTCTTCAAATTACCAAATGAATGTATCTTTTACCAATAAATAGTAGGAGCATAACTTATTTTCACTATTTTGTGAGAGGTCACACAGGTCTTTGATATTTTTTTAACTGAATGAAACTATTATCTTTCACAAAATTTAACATTTAGTTCATTTTGTAAAAGCAATGACATTCTGTTCAATTGCTTTTGGAAATCAAATACATAAAGTGTGGCAGAGGAGGAGGAGGTCCAAGTATACGGCTATACATGAAAAGTAACCTCAATACATTTTACAGTTGCTTCAACATGAGAGAGAGGAATGTGTATAAATCAAAATCATTTGAAGAATGTGCTTCAGACCCCTGCACTATTTATTAAAGCATACCTTTCTTTTTTTTAGGTTTTCACACAAGCTGAAAGAAGATGCAGCTATATTTAAGAATCTCATTAAATATATATTGCTTTAATTATTTGATTCATTACAGCAGCAACACCTCTTTTTTCAGGCATGTATGGAAGCCTGAAAAAATGCACGTTGTAATAAATAACAGAAAGGTGGTATGCTCATGCAAAATCCAACCCACTTCTTCCGAACCAACTGAGAAGCATGGAGAGTCATAATAGTGAAGTAAGAGGTCTTAATTCATTCATAGGAATCTGTTAATACAATTTTTAATTTTAGAGTTTGAAGGGATTATTTTGTTCAGCACCAATATCTGATTTTTTAAAAACTGAATAAGAAACTGAATCTATCATTTAACATACCAATTCTTTGCTTTAAAAATTCACATTTTCTTATAGAGAAAAGTATAGAAAAGAGTAGCACTGGACCTGTTCAGTGAATTCAAACAAGCACAAAGTCACATCTTTTGACCAAGTCACTGCTATAAAATCATAGTATGACAAGCATGAAGTAAGAGGACAACAGCATGAGGGTCAAGCAATTCCCATCTTACAGTGCTTACACATCTTACAATGGTGCTGAATGAGTGGTACTTAGACCGGCCATCATAGTGCCCCCGCAGTCATGTGATTGTGATCCGGGTGCTCAGCGCCCAGCTTGTAATCACGTTGCAGGTCCCACAGTCACATGATTGCCATTTGTGACTTTCTTTCCCTACAAGGAAAGTCAATGGAGAAGCTGGCAGGTCACAAGTGGTGACCATGTGACGTTGCGGGATTCACTTAATGTTGGCAACCGGGAAGTGCTAGAACTGCCATTGCTAAGCAGCGTGGTCACATGACATTGAACTTTATGACCATATTGCTTAGTGATGGAAATTGCTGTCATTAACAGAACTACCTGAATATATCTGATTTACAGTGCAATCCTACATATGCCTACTTAGAAATAAACATGCAGAGAGCTCAATGAATCTTAATCCCTAGTTAAATGGCAGTTAGTTATGTACAGTCTTTTAAAATGGACTGTATGTAAATAACCTGTACAAAATAACCTGGCAAATAACTTACTAGTAGTATGCTTACACTGCATCAGATTTTAATCACTTGAATTTAACAAGCATTTATTATGTCAGGTATTTTGGAGGTTCAACCTGGACATACAGAATATAACTTTTGTTTCTGATAAACTGAATTAGGATGCCAGATAAAAGCATATAGATAGAGGAATGGTGGGATAATATTTAGGAAGTGCGTGTCAGAAATAAAGATATTTTGGTAATTTGGTAAGAAAGGAATTACAGTATACTGGTAATTTGGTTAGAAAGGAATAGGAGAAATAAGCTGACCTTCTGAAGAGTTGGCTCATAAAATTAAGACTGTATTGTTTTAAAATAAAGACATACAGTATATAATTGTTTTACACAACTGAGACATCTTGATTTATCTTCTCTTTGCAGAATCTTCAATTATTTTTAATGCAGGAAATATGAATTACATCACATAAACTTTAATTAAAATCATTTTGATTCAAATCAATTTTCTTATTTCCAATTCAGTTAATTCTGTCACCAGATTTTAGTTTATTTGGTCTCTTACTTTTACTTTAAAAAAGAAATTAATCATTCCCTGAATTATTTTATAGTTCAAGCATAGCAAATGCATGCTCCTCAAAATGACTTCAAATAATGATCAAGAAAGATCACTGAATAACCTATATACTATTATCATCCTGATAATTCTTCTATCAGGGGGTTTAGTTATTATTTTAAAAATTTAAGAATATTCTGCACAGGTTTGTGTACTTTACTTATTTACAGCAATTTTTAAATTGAAAGTTTGAAATTTAATTTTTACACGTAATCTATGATATAAAATGCAGCTTTACATTTTGTTAAAGTGTTACAAGTTCAAATAATTATATAACTGTTTTCAAGCACATTAATATACAGCGATGTTACTTTTACAAAAGAACATTAAACTGTTAAAAATTTAAATGTTGCTGAGAGTGGCTGAGTTTCATTGTCAAAGCAAAGAAATGACTAATGATCCTCAAAAAGAGCCCTGATCTAATGACCTTATTGTTCTGCAAGCTAATGACAAATCGTTGTCCAATTGACTGTGCAATTTCCAATTTTGCCCACCATACTATGGCCATTTATGTTCTGATCATCCTTTCCCACACTGTAGTTATACATTTTGAGACTTGGGGGTACTCCTCTCTAAGCAGGTATCACAAGTTTTCACAATGCCATTTTATGTATAGTGCAAACTTAATGTCCCTTGAACAGTATTTCTGTTGTAACAAAGACTTTTTATCTTCACAAATGAAGATGAAGATATCCTATCAATGACAAAGGGATATTTTATTCATGCCACCACTTATTTAGCAAGTCAATGGTGTATAATAGAAATTGTTCTTCCTCACATCACTGCAACTTAGAGTTTAAAAAGGAACAAAAAATCTAATTCTTCCTACGCCTTCTTATAAGTGCATTTTCTACAGAAATGTTGCTCTGAGTTCAGTTCCATAAACAAAAACTATTATAAAATGGGTCCTTTCTTGTTCCGCATTAACGTATAGCGTCTGCTAACATTTTTCATTATTCATTTTTTTAATATGGTGAAGCAGGGTATCTTTTTCCAAGTGAGCTTCAGCAAGGGCCATCTTGGCTTTGGCTAATTCCTGTTTTAGACATTCATTTTCTTCAATAAGCTGTAATAAATAAATAAATAACCATTTTTAATGTTGATATGCCAAATTAAGTTTGATAAGATTACAGCCTTACAAGCAAAGTAAACATTAAATGAAAGAACTTTGTGCTCCCCATTTGTTGTTTCTTTTTTAGATTTGTTTTGCAATATACTCAGAGCACTTTTTAAAGACAGTTTAAAAAAAAAGCCTCCTTATCCTCTGGACTGATAAAATGTAATACAATCTCTATAATACAATTGTGCCAATTGTTATCATTACTTACAATTAACTTTTCATCCATCCCCCCTAATTCAGCATCAGAAGACTCTGATACTTGTGCTCCAAGTTAAGACATGTAAAAAAGACAGCACTTGTGAGACATGTAAAAAAGTCACAAGAGCATATTTGTGAAGGGAAGAATAGATTTGCCAGAAACCAATTTAAGGCACTGTTCCCTGTTATGGTCTAGCCTCAGCTCAGCATTCCTTTTTACAGAATAGGTATATTATATACGCATAACCCTGTTAAGCAGGAACTGTCAGCTGACTGCTGTTTATGTTATTACTACAGTTATAACAGAAGAGCATATTGAATTAAACTTAGTATTGAAAAAAAATGTATTCTACTGCCAACCTTTAAAAATACCATGAATGAGTTTACATGTTATGAACCCACTGTTTTGCTTTGAGTCATGGTTTTTAATTTAGTGTTACATATTAACCTATTTTTACAATTTCTGTGAATGTATTTTAAAAACAGCTGATTTCACTTCACATATTAAAATTATATCTGTCTTTTTCATACATTTATGGAGCAGTACTTTCTCAGATATTTAAATTATACATTACTTTCCAAATGATTATGAATGGGCTATTTTTGGCACTTTCCAACTATAAATTTCTATCCACTAAAAGTTTTTAAAAAATTTACATTCATTATTTAATTTAAAATGTTACTAATTTCCTCAAAGTGTATATAATTTAGAATAGCATATAATTAAAGTATGCCCTTTATTTGACTATCTGGACACTTTTTTTTTTAGATTTTTATCCTGCCTTTCTTATTTTTATAAATAACTCAAGGTGGTGAACATACCTAATACTTCTTCCTCCTCCTATTTTCCCCACAACAACAAACTTGTCAGGTGAGTTGGGCTGAGAGAGAGTGACTGGCCCAAGGTCACACAGCCAGTTTTCATTAATTTTCATTTCCATGAACATGTTTTATACTGAAACTGCTTTGACTGCTCTAACTTATGAACTCTACCATTCCAATGAATAGGAGGTCATCATCTTATGTGACAAAAAAGGTTTTCTCTTTATTGAGTGGAGTATTTATAACCTTAGGCTGTAAACAACATGTCCTCCACAACACTCTGCACTCTTTCAAAATACTCATGGAAAACCAGATTTAGCTTCCAGTATTCTTCAAAAGAGTTTGCTGTCCTTTACAATACAAAATCATTAACTGCCATTATAAAAACAACTTTGCAAAAGAAAAAAGAAAAAGAAAACATATTGGTAGATTTATCATTACCTGTTCTTTGATTACTATGGGTAAAGTCATAAATCCTTGGGATCTGTTGATTTCTGGAGATGTTTGTGTGGACTGGGACCGAAAATTCTTGTGTGTGCCAACTTCAGCATCCTGATCGCCTATACTACTGTGTGTCTTAGTCTTTGGTGCATCACTACTAACTGTTCGGTTGTCTGTTAATTAGAGAATTAAGAGGATTATATAAAGATACTGATATCAAGAACTCAATAAAATGCACCACATCAATATAACTATATCAAGAAAATGGAACTATAGCAGAAATTGATAAAGATATGAACACAGAAATATTTCCATTGCTTTCTTACCAATATTGTTGTTAAATGCTATTTAATATCAAGACAAATAGTAAGACTGTTACTATTACCAAATAGTAAAACTGAGATAAAACTATCTTCAAACTAAGTATTTTAAAAAGAAATGTTTTCAAAAAAACATACCTTTCTTCATCTGTTCTAACCCTCAATCCCTCTTCTAATCAATACAAGTAATCTAGATGGACTGCTACTTCTCACACATTTAAACAGATGAATTACTCAGATATTTTTCCATTGAAATGATTTTAAAGTTCTTAACTTCTGAACTGTATTCAGAGTGCATTTCATTTGTATATATTCTCAAAAAAAAAAACACACAAATGTATTAATGATGTACATTTGATTTGATAAATTCCTAAATTTGTCTATTTCACCTAGATTTATTGAGTTTTTAAGACAAAACCCTATTTTGTGTGAAGTTAACAGAACCAAATCTGGAATTCCCCAGTTAATTATTTACAATAATTTGTAAGCTATCTACTAAAATTTTGTGAGTATTTTGGTACTTCAGTAGCCTACAGAAAAGCAGATTGTGTGTTGGCAAAAAAGAAAAAAAAAGTTGCTGTGTGTTGGCAAAAAAGAAAAAAAAAGTTGCTATTTTGTGTGAAGTTAACAGAACCAAATCTGGAATTCCCCAGTTAATTATTTACAATAATTTGTAAGCTATCTACTAAAATTTTGTGAGTATTTTGGTCCTTCAGTAGCCTACAGAAAAGCAGATTGTGTGTTGGCAAAAAAGAAAAAAAAAGTTGCGTTTTGCTTACTTTATTCTGTGCTTTTTATTAAATACAGTATGTCTCATCTGAACAAAAGCGGGAAGAGAATAATTCTTTGTGATTG